CGAACCTGAGCTGAGAGGGATATAACATCCCGGCAGAAAAACCGAGATGCTCGATAAAAATCTAAGTTCTCCCTCTAGGGAATCAAACGCGAGCCTCTGCATGCAATGGCGAAATGATTAACAACTACACCACAGAGGCCAGTAGGTCGTTCGTGACTTGTGACAGCTCAAATTCCTGTCTCCAGCCACTCACCTTATAGACCAGAGGCTTCAATGCGCCAATTCTAGCGCCTCCTTCATCCAGTCGTTGGCGTCACAGGGAACTCAGACAACACGCGAGATTTATTCTAACGTTATGGAGCTCATGATGGCATCCTTTGACACAGTGAGTTACTGTCAAGATACGCATCTATTTACACCGTGATTCGCGTCGAGATGCGATATTAGTCAGAATTCACAGGAATGAGAGTCAAAATTGAAGTACAATAACATTTATTTAACGCGGTGAGTTACTGTCGAGATAGTGCATCCATTTACACCGTTGGTTCACTTCGAGATACGATATCGGTCACTGTTCACAGACACGAAGGTCAAAATCGAGGTACAATAACATTCACAGACACTGATTTTCTGTCGAGATACGATCAAATCAGTTGGCACTGTGACCCTTGTCGTGGTAAGATAGCATCTATTTCATTCTTAGTTCGTGTCGAGATACGATAGCATCCTTTGACACAGTGAGTCTTTATCGAACTTCCATGTCAATTAATACGATGAGTTGTAATAATATGTATCATCCATTGACGCATGGGATTCGCCTATAATGTCGAGACACATAAACGTTCACTGAGACAGTAAGTCGCGGACGAAACACAATAGCACCGTTGACGTGTGTCATGCCATTTCGTTTTCATTGTGTTCACAACTCATTAACTTTCCGTCTCAGACTTCCAACACAACCAAAGCCATCTTATTCGAGCTTGCTCGTCACCCGGACATCCAAGAGAGGCTATTCGAGGAAATTTGCCGAGAGCTTCCCGAGAAAGGCTATGACGTCACCTATCAACAGTTGAAAAAGCTCATCTACCTGAAGGGCGTACTGAAGGAGAGTCTAAGGTGAAATCAACAGCTGGCTTTGTCGTTGTAAAACGTTTTACTCCCCCATATACGCGGTTACGGTTATTTATGAAGTTCTGTTCTCATGCCAATTGATCTACTGAATAAACAGAAATTTCGTAAAATATTATGTC